TTATAGGCTTAAGTTCGGCAGTGTACGTGGAGGTGCTCTGAAAGTCACTGTTGGGTGTCGGTGGCCATAAGCATGTGACAGTTTCCAGGTGATCGAGTAGCAGAGCAGAGGCTTCTGGTTCAGCTGCCCATTCAGCTCCTGTCTGAGGCTGGGCAGACAGGCCTTTGACACTCAGTGTTGAATAAGAGAATATTCATGTACACACACACTTGAAAACATTAAATGTGCTAAACTATCGATGATCCAGAATTATAAAAATATATTTAAGGAAGTAGTTAATAACTTCAGCCATTGAAAATTAGTCCCTATCTCTGTCCAGTTGTCAATATAGTAAGAAAACTCAAATCAAAGAAGCCAAACCCTTTGCCCATGCATACACGGAAGTGTCACTTCTCCGGCCCTGATGTCACCTTACCTTTTCTTCCTACTTGCAACACTCACTCACTCAAATGCATCACTTGTAATATCGTAGTTCTAAAGGGAATTTATCTGAATGTAGACCATTCTCTGTATAGGATGTTTCCCATTAGTTGTGTATGAGACTGAGGAAATCTAGGGCTTGTTCTGAGAATTAGGTTTTAATGATGCAGCTGTACGTTCAGTGAGAATGTTTAACCAGAAAACAGGAGTAGCACCTGCTTCTGGTTTCTGTGACCTCAGATAAGTTATACTTAATTGGGTGTGTGGAGAAGGGTCTTGGGCTTTACTGCGGGGACACACACACTCATCCCATTTCAAAGTTCCAGGGAGAAGAGCTCTGACTGGAGCATTTTGGGTGGAGGCAGTGGAAGGATACGAAAGCTTTTCCACAATACATTGTCTCATTCATTTTTCCCTTGGGTTATTCAGCTTGGACTTATGCTGTTTGTTTGTTTGTTTGTTTGTTTGTTTTAAACTTAGGCCCAAGCAACACACTTCTCCTGCCCTCTGAGACAGGATCCATTTTCAGTAGTATGGCTGCAGAGAAAGACTATCACTAGAGAACACACAAAGAACATCAAGGGTTCACGGTCAGTCCTGGTAACTGCGCTGCAGCCCTGGCCCAAGCCTCACTTCTCACGTTTGTTTCCTCTGAGCAGGACCCATCTCACTGGCTGCCACCAGCGACCTTGCCCCCTCATGGGAACTTCCAGATCAAGGTTCCCAGACCCCTCTGGGTGCTCTTGTCTGTAGTCTGTAGGCCTCCCAAAGGAAATGGCAAGGCTGTGACACTGACACAATGCAGATTTCACTTGTTAAGCGTGGGTAGCTCCACTCCCCCAGCAAGAAGGAGCCTGTTTACTACGATCCATCCTTAACATCCACCACTGTACACCTGTATCAAATCACACATGAGCTCATTTTTTCAAACTGATATGAAATGACAAAGAACTCAACTGTTATATAGAAAGATCTATTTTGGCCCCCCCAAAAAAGTTATGGGTTTTTCTTTTTTTCTCTGGATTGGAGGGGGTTGGAGCAGATTTATCTGTGCTTGACGTTTGCAAGACGGCAGAGCTGTGGCTTCCAGAAGATGACGAGACATAGATGTAGGAGGAGGTCTTGAGTCTTGTTTATAGGAACGGTGTGCTCAAGAGGCTATCTAGAGAGAACTGACTTTCAGATCGCCCAGGAGGGAATCCCGTCCCATGTGGCATCAGGCAGGCATTGGAAGGGCAGACCAGACTTCTCAGCCCCCTACCCAGGGCCGTCCCTCTTCAGGAAGGGACCACACAATGCCGAGAACTCGTGATCTCAGCCCAGGATCTTTTCCACATTCTAGATATTCTTATTTTGAAATTCCAAAGCAATAATAAGTCTGCCTCTGGCCATAGGGCAATGTAAATACAATGGGGCTATACTCATGTTTGAAAGGAAAATCTATTTTCACTTCATGTGACTGTAGGATCTCCAGCAAGTATAGTGAAAAAAAAAAAAAGTCTGTTGCAAGTGTATTGGATGTTTCAGTTTGCCAGACCTGTCATGATAAATTAATTACAGGATGTTGCAGAAATGGCAAAGCTCCAGCAGCATCTTGCATAGTTTAATATAGCCCCATTTCCCCATTTCAATGTATTTGTGGTTAGATAAATCCTCAGAAATTTACAGCTGCTATAGACTAGTTTATTATGTACTCTGCCTGCACACATGATAAGTATAATAAGAATTTGATGTTCTTAAAGCATATAGATTTTACTGACATTTTTTTACCACGATAGAAATATTTAGTTGCTAAAAGTAGCATATGCAGATACTTCTGAACATGAATTTCTGTGTAACAAGCACAGATCGTTAAAACATTGCTGTGCCTTCTTCCTTTTACTTTACATTGAAGAACTGTAGCTCAGAGAAAAGTTATATGGAACATTTATATCAAATGGTCTCGTGAACAAATAGAAAAGAAACTGCTACTGATTTTCAGTTGAAAACACTGAAAAAACGAACTGAAGCTACCACACTTTTCTCCAGGGAAACTTCTTCCTTTGGTCTCATGACTGGTTTTCGCAAGCTTCGGTTGTTCATTTTTGCTCTGGCAACAAGATTATTTTCCTCACCTTCTTGCTTTTTTCTCTTTTTGGACTACGTTTTTTTTCTTTCTTATCTTCGTTAAGCAAATCATCTCCATTCCAAGCAACTTTTAATGACTACAATATGTAAGTTTACTTAGATAAATGTTGTAGAACAAACCATTCCTACTTTTTCCGCTACCATATTCTTTCACAATTCTTGAAAAGATCAAGTGATAATTTAAGAAATGAAGTACAGTAGATTAAGTAAAAATCAGATTATTCAGTACTTTTAGAAATGACACAAGCAGGTAGAGTTGGACAATTCTGACACAGTATTAGACATGGAACATGTATGGTTACGGACTTTTTTAGATTGAGAGTAGAAATTAAAATTGTAGATTCTTAGCATTATCTACCCTAACTTTTTGAGAAAATAAAAATAACTCATCCATAATCAGAATGAATCTGAGGTGTTAGAAGAACAATTTCAGAAAACTGGGTGCTCCTAACATATGCTTGATGTAGACTTGAAGAGGATCATTAGAAAAAAAGCATTCTTTGTGTTTATAAAACAAATGTTTTATACTATTTAGTTTCTGCCTTAACTTAAAGTATTTCCTATTCACTTTAATAATTAGAGCAGAAGTATATGATGAATGAAGTGCCTCATTACCAAGTTTGCTTTCCGGGTCTAGCTGCCTGCTTTTGCCTATTTGGTCCATTGTTAACCCTAAATGATGCTGACATCCAATTCTCCTGCAGATAATTGGGTCCACCCATAGACTGAGTTTGCCAGTCAACAGAGACTTTTGATCGACATGAGTCTTGATGTTTTTATTATCTCTTATATGACTGGAATGGCACCGAGGCTGCTTCTTGAATAATGCGCTACTATCTATGTATTAGTTTGATTCCACAGACTCTGTTTCTTAAGAAAATGTAAGAATTACAGTATGGAGTAAAGATTTATCAAAATAATTATGGATAAACAAATTATCAGTTAATTTTTTTTTACCCAGATGTATGTCATTTTATTTAGGTCACTCTTGCACTAAAGACACATTAGACGTTTCTAGTAGCTGGATGTGGTTGCAGGTAGTTACTCTCACGTGTGCTGGAGTATCTATCTGACTATAGTCACTTGCTGGCTTACCCGACACGGCAACTGAGACCCAGCACTTCGCAGACCTCCCAGTGGACGAGTCTGGCAAGCCTCCGTTCACAGCTAACACTGCTGTTTACCGGCCAAGTGCACTTGGACAAGTTCCTCAGCTTTCGAAGTCTTGGTTTCCTTATTTGCAGTGCAGAAAAGATTTTATCTACCTGGTGGGTTTGCTGTGAAGAGTCAACGAGGTCACGCACCTAAACTGAAGACCTGGGGAGTATTTTCTGTAGTGAAGTTTAGTGACGTAGAAATCAACAAATATATATAGTTTTAAAAAGTTGGATTGTTGAAAAATGTTCCCATAATTTACTTAACAGATATAGCCCTCAGATAGAAATCATTTAAATATTTATTAAAATGTGAGTTCAAAAATTTTTGTTATAGTTTATAGAATCTTCTAACCCTCTTAAAAATACTTGAGTTAAATGAACGACTAAAGTGACTTGCCATATAAAGCTATAAAACCATAAGTTATTTCCCAGATATAATCTTGCTGAACTTCTTAAGGAGAAAATGTCTATAGCTTAAAAATAAAATTAAGGTCAAGGATTTGCATTTATGAAAACAAACCTTACACAAGATTTCAAAAGCACCAAGTGTTAGCATTTTAGATATAACATTGAATTTATGGTATAAAATATTTCATGCTTTAAATCTTTTAAAAGCTTGCTCTTTATTCTAGCTTTGCAAATCTTATTCGTTGACAGTTTTGATACTGAAGAATCTTTAATCATCCAGCTAGAGTATAATCAATAATTGGGAAATAAATTTCTAAGAATGGTTTAAAACATTTCTTAGATCTAGAAAGAGTGTCAAACTGTTACTTGTTTGGAAAATAAAAAGAAGTCAAAATGAAGTCAGAAGATAAAATTCAGTAATTTCAGAGTGAAGATAAAACAAAAAAACTTTTTTTACTAAGAAAATGTATGGTTATCATAAATCTTCAAACAGACTCTTCTGTCTGCTTCTTCTGCTTGATTATAATTTGGAACTATCACCTGTGGGGCAGTTTTACGATCTCCCCCATCCGATCCCATCTCAGAGAATGTGGTGTGAGTTGTTTTATTAATTTAGTTGGGAATGTAACCCAGTCTTTCTTTGTCAATGACAAAAGTGACTGGGCTTTGAGTGGAACCGACTTTTCCTGCTGTTTGCCTCAGTGGTTATTTTCTTCTTCAGGAGTTGCAATATAAAAATAACTCTTTATTTTTCATATGAACATTGAGATCTCAGCTTATGTTTAGCTCTCCTAACATACTCTTTCACTTGTCACGATTTAAAATTTTCTGCAATGTGTTGAAATTCTTTGTGATCAAAACCAAAATAAGAGAATCAATGCACAAATCAAAATTATGAGCCGCACGTTTTTATTTAATTATCCAAGGCAGTCACGAGACAGAAAACACACGCTTGTACAAGGGTGGCTCAAGCTGGCTGCACCCAGCTGTACTTGAAGGGCGGACAGAAGCATCCAGAACAATGAGAACTCGCTACTGTCGCAACAGACTTTTGTGCTGTCCCCGACGGCTTCTGCACTCATCACCACCACTCACCACTTTCAAAAATGCCCCCTCCCTTTAGTTCCACACAGCAGGGGCCTGTTTACCAGTTTTCATGCCGCTGCACCATGTGTAGGGATAAGAGCCAAATGTGTTTTTACTAGAAGATACTTCGCATCGGGCGTACATCTGGACGGGGTTCACACCTCAGTGCCCAGCACTGTTTTTCTCACTTCTTATTTTAATGGAATCAATTGTCTCATTTGGTAAATAAGTTTTCTAATTTTACATTAGTTTTGACCTTTTGGGGTTAAATATTTCATTGACAGACTTATACTCACATAGTTGAGAAATAAGAAGTCAAGAAAAATGAAATAAACTTCTCTGTTATAACATTACACTCCAAAATATATAGTCACATAGTAATGACAGGCATTATTCTGGAATTGAAAAAATAAATAATGCAATGTAACCATTTAAAACAAACATTAAGACTAAAATAAATATTAAACATTGTTATATCTAGAAATACTTATATGCTTAAATACGAAATGCTTTTTTTAAGTAAAGAAATTTGGAATGCTGTTGCCAGTCTAGCCAAAAGACATTTTAGTTCATCTGTATCAAGTTATATACATATGGTCCATTCAAAACAAATTTGTTCCCTCCTTATGCCTTTCTTACTTGAAACCATTTTGAATATACAATATTTTGAAACTGCTTATATTTTAAATAAAATTACATTTCAGAAGCAGATACTTCATATTTTGAATATAACACCACATCTGTTCCCACATTGCGGACATAGTATTAGATAATTACCTAATGAAGAGACTAACAACACAAACACTTTTTTTCACATTTGCTGACTAGCAATTATGGTGTTTATTGGTTTTGAACAACAGTAACATAATTTTAATATAATTACTAATAAGTACAAGTACCAATACTTTGATCAGTAACAATCACAATGGTTTATAACAATTAAGCTCAAAAGGCCACATTTATTTTTCTAAGCATACCTCCTTGCTTCTGATTTTTCTAGATTCCATCATATGGACGAGAACAGTGGATTCTTCCTTCCTTCCTTAGTTTCTGAAAATTCTGAACTCTGAAGAGAAATTCCATTTGATTTAATTTGTCACTTCACTTCTATGTATTTGGTTCTTTGTCTTTTCATTCTTCTTCAACTCTTTACTAGGAGAAAAATACACAAAATTTACTAAATGAACTCAATGTCTTTTGGCCACAGTCAAATCTTGGCATGATCAGGCATACTGGCACAGGTAATAAAACACACTGTGCAATGCACACACACACACACAACCACCAAAACGTTAGTTATAATACTCATCCTCTCGTGTGCCTTGTGAAAATACTGTTAACATCTTTTAGTACCATCAGGAGTTGCTTAAAGCCTGCACTAGCACTGGCAAGTTAACTATAAGCAAAAAAATAAAGAAAACAAACAAACAAACAAACAAACAGCCACCTCTCAAATACAGACACTAAGTACTCCAAGCACTGGATGCCTCCCAGAAATTAAGAGCAGGCAATCAGAGTTTATAAAATCCTTCATTCACTGGGAAAGAGAATCATCATGGATCATGCTTCAGAGTTAGTGACCGGGAAACCTGTAGACCATTTATTTTATTAGGCAGCAATTCTTTCATTTAGTCTATGGCCATGTCTAGTTTTACAAGTGGGTAAACTATTACATATTTTTTTTCAAATAAATCCAAAAAAATGTTGTGTGTCATTTTTGATAGACAAAGACGGTGATGGTTAACTATGCATCTAGGTGCAGCTCTGAGATAAAAAAAATTACACCATTAATGAAAACCACAGCTGAAAAAACGAGCTGCCTCTCTAGAGCCCACGAAGTCAGCAAACTGCAACTGAGGGCGATAAGCTAGTGGGGTTGAACCTGAGATTTTTCATACAATTACTCATATACTAGCCACGAATAAAAGTAACTGGACTTAACACAAAAACGTCTTTTCCCTAAACAGAGAGGCTTAATACTTGGTTGCTCTTCAAAAACAGACTGCAGCCCAAGAACGCTGGCATCCTGGTGAAGGTGGTGGTCCACTCCACTGGTCACTCCCAGGGGAGGCGCAGGCTAGCTATTTCCCAAGGGCCTTCCTTGGTGGCCCAGAAGGGTTAGGGAACATCTGTGTCTGGGGACAGGCCCCATCCTAAGATGATTGCAGTCTTTTCACATGAAAAACATTTACACATGAGGGGGAAAAAGTCCTTTGGTAATCGGTGCTTCCTGACTTTAAATTTGTTCAACAACTAATTAATCACAGAGAAGTTGGTGTGACACAGAGAAGCCCCCAAAATATTTTAAATGAAGCTCACAAAAGAAACTGGAGTAGAAAATGGTACAAGTATAGTGTGCCAAGGGACAATCTCACAGGAGCCAAAACAAAACAAAACAAAACCCCAGCATCATTTTTGTCCCTGTGTGGGTACAGGTCAAGTACATAAAACTTGCAGCAAATTAGGGTCTGATGGAAGTAGGGGAGTAGTAAAGGCTCAAATGGATGCTGGGCACAAGTCACCCAGAGTCTTACAAACATGTGCAAGGGAGAGAGAAGATGGTGAAGAGGCTCTCAGGGGACTAATAAGGCACAACAGAGGAGAGAGGAAGTTTAGGACTGTGGAAGGCCACGCTTGAAGAAGGAAAACAGAAAAGGGAAAGAATGGGGGACAGCAAGACGTGAGCGAAGGAATCCCACACATGCAGAAGATGCAGGGCCGGTTAAATGAATCAGGTGGAGACCGCACTGTGAGGTCAGGAAACAGAGAAGCCAGGAGGACCCCCTGGAGAGGGAACCCACCAGAAATCTAATGAGAGAAAGCTGAAGGAGGCAGTAAAGATAACATCTCTAAGGGAAACAAAGCAGGCTAAGGGGAGGATGGAAGGCTGGAAGAGAATGACAAAGGCTGCCCACGAAAGGGAGACGGGGGACTGAATTCCAGGAGAAGGAGAAGAGATGGCCAGGGTACACCTCTGCCAACCAGGGAAAAGGAGTGGCCCACTGTCAGGATGAATGGTGACAACATCGCGGCTGCAAAGCTGAGAAACAGATTTGCTGCAAGAGGGAAGAGCTGTCACCTAACCAAAGACACAAGCGTGAGTCCAAATCCAGTCTTCCTCCGAGGCATCTCCTCCTAAGGTGTCCCGGGGAGCTAACGGAGGACGAGGGTAACAAAGGGCCTTTTTAAAGGTTCTAAATCGCATGAAAACAAAAAGAAAAACCTGCACAGCAAGATTTTGAAAATGAATATGAAATCACATTAGTGTTTGTGGGCATGTTATATGTAAAAAAGAAGATTCATAAAAATACTGGGCTCTTCCCCACAAGAAATTCAATCCAGTAAATGTTCCCCAAAGGTTTAGTATGTGGCAAGTCCCCAGGCCGAGGGCCGCCCACCAGCAGGTCTAGTCCCTGCCTACACGCACTTGCCATCTACGCGTATGTATCTCATCGGAGTTAACAGACAAAGTGTTGTGTAACAGAAACAACCCTGAACTTGGAGCCAGAAGATCAAGTCCTAGTTTGGGCACTTTTTAGCCGTGACTCTGAGACTGTGATTCCTCTACATGTAGAAAGAATAGGCTGTGGAAACTTTCTGAAGTTACTTTCATTTAAAAAAGAAATGATAAAGTAGTACCTATCTAATAGGCTGAGTAGAAAAATGAGAAAATACACTAAAATGAAAGCTCCAGGTGTAATAATAATAATAAAAAATGCTAGGAGCTGAGAGGTCTTGGTGTTCATCATTAATCGGCTGCCCGGCCCGGGCCAGGCTCCTTGTCCTTGTGAAACACTGCCTGCAGGGGCGCCCTTTTAACGGAATCCCTGCACGTGCCCTGGGCTGGTCTCCTCCATTACAGTCCTGGAAGCCCAACTGTCTGGTCAAAGGACAGGAGTGGGTTTGAAAATTAAAAAAACAAAACAACAACAACAAACCACCCTCCACAAAGAATGGATCAGTCGAATACTACTGCTATCAGAGTATCAGCTCTGGTACTTTAACTTTGAAACTTGTTGCCATTTTGTGAAGGAGAAGGTATTTGTTTTAATTCCTCTTAATGCAATCACTGGACAGGGGATATGTTTCCTATTTTCACCGCCACATACACACATACATACATACACACAAACACACATAATTTCTTCCTGTTTTAAAAAAAGAATTTATTTATTTTTAAAAAGAGGGGAAGGGAGGGAGAAAGAGAGGGAGAGAAACACCAACGTGTGGTTGCTTCTCATGTGTCCCTTCCTGGGGACCTGGCCCCCAACTCCAGACATGTGCCCTGACTGGGAATCAAACTGGAGACCCTTTAGTTCACAGGCTGGCACTCAATCCATAGAGCCACACTAGCCAGGGTATGCATATGTGTGTGTATATATAATTTCTTTAAGAATGTCTTGTGTACCCTGGCCTGTATGGCTCAGTGGATTGAGTGCCAGCCTGCGAATAGAAAGGTCTCCAGTTCGATTCCCAGTCAGGGCACATGCTTAGGTTTTGAGCCAGGTCCCCAGTTGGGGGTACACAAGAGACAACCAATTGATATATCTCTTGCACATCAATTTTTTTCTCCCCTTCTTTCTCCCTCCGTTTTCCTCTTTGCAAAGATAAATAAATAAAAACAAAAAAGAATGCCTTGTTCACACTCTTTGCCAGTTTTTCTATTGGTTTTCTATTCCTTTTCCTTGCTATTTTTTAGAACTTTTTATATGTTAAGGGTATTACACTAATCCTTTATCTGTCATATAGTTATGAAGTTCTTCCTGTCTTAGGCTACTGTGGGTTTTTAGATTTTGCTTATGGTGGTTCTTCTGTCTGAGAGACAGGCAGACCTCACTGCACTGTGCTTCACTACCGAACCAGGTTCACGGCCTCACTCCACTGAGTGAGTCTAGGGCTCCATTCCATCAACAGGCTCAGATGATGGCCAGCATGTTTTTTTTAGCAATCATGTGTTTTTAAATTAAGTGTACCATAGTTATAATGCTATTGTACACTTAACAGACTACAGTACAGTGTAAGCAAAACTTATATATGCATTAGAAACCAAAACATTCATGTGACTTGCTTTACTGCAATATTTGCTTTATTGCAGAGGTCTGGAACCAAATCTACCCTGTCTCTGAGATATGTCTGCACATCATTTTAAAATTTCTATTATTTGAATCTAAAAATCTGTTTCAAAATATTTTCTAATTCTGGTGCCAAGATTAAAGATAGAAAATCATTACTTAACCCACAATTAAGTAACTGTTCATCTATATGCCCTCTGTACAATTAGATTTTACATTTTTACAACTAAAATCTGAAAATACTGATGAAAATTTTGAATCTAGTTCCCAGAAAGTGCAAATTTCATAAAAGCAGACACGCCAGCGCGGCACCATCCTACGCCCCAGCAGACAAGGGTCCGTGTCCCGAACAGGAACACGGAAGTCTTCTGAGGGGCCTTCCGCATGCTGCACCCCCATGCGGGAACGCGCCGCACAAACACATTTCTCTCCTGCTTGCCTGTGGGAGCGGCAAGGGGCCCCCCTTCTCGTTTCACAGTCTAGTCCTAGGCATTTCCTTAGGTCCCCTGGGATTTCCCTCTTCTCATATACCTTCGATGGCTCCCCTCGAGGAACCATTGCCCCTCAGTTTGTAAATATTCTTGTCAATCCCCTCTGCATCAAGATCTTCTCTACATCCTGTTTCCCACTGGTTACTGCCCAGCCTTTTCTTTCCTTCGAAGGCGGCCTCTCGGAGAAGCAGCCCATTCTGACGGCCTTTTCCCTCTGGGCAGGAGAACCCGAATCCTGCCTCCAGGGCTCCACTGAACCGCCCTCTCTCAGTCTCCGGGGCTGCGAGGGCACTTTTCAGCCCCGACTTAACTTCTCCCTTTAGCATGTGTCATCGTTGACCACGCCTTTCCGAAATCACCTCCTACTGACTCTGTGACACAACGTTCTCCCACTTGTCTTCTTACCTCTATGAGGGTGACTTTTCGGCCCGTTTGCTCGTTCTGGTTCACCTGCGTGTCCGCCACATGTCCTCGGTCCTCATGGCTCTGTGCTTTGCCCACTGGAGAACTACAGGAGGGAGAGATCAGAAGCAAAGGGCCAGTAAGAGAGCTGCTGCAACAGCTCAGACCAGGCTCTGGTCTCAGAAAGTGGCAGTGGGAGTGCAAAGGGGGGAGAAGTGTGAGAAGCGGAGGGGAAAACACTTGAGAGAGTACATGAGTGATCAGACATGGGGGTGAGAGACAGGGAGTCGCTCAAAATAATGCAAAGGCATAAAACTTTAGCTGGTGGGGCTCCCCCTTAACCACGATGAAGGAAGAAGAATAACACAAATTTTACTACTCTCAGAAAGATGTCTGGGACATCTTTCAGAAAGCTTTAATCAGATTAGATGGAAAAATATGTGTGCCCGTGTGTGTGTGTATGTGAAAGTACGGGATGCTCCTTAATGACAAAGAAATGAATGAAGAAGTTCATGCATAAGAAAGTTGTGACATTCTAATCTGTGGAATGGGAATGCAGCTGTTCAAATGGTTCAGTAGTAATAGTAAAATACAAAACAAATATTAGTGGATGATTCTGTACCAGTACAAAGTATGTTAGAAGAAAGAAAATACAAAACAATGTAAAAAGGGAAAAAAGTCAGCCCGAGCTGGTGTGGCTCGGTGGACTGAGTGCCGGTCTGTGAACCACAGGGTCACTGGTTCTATTCCCAGTCAGGGCACATGCCTGGGTTGCAAGCCAGGTTCCCAGTAGGGGCCATGTGAGAGGCAACCACACACTGATATTTCTCTCCCTCTCTTTCTCCCTCCCTTCCCATCTCTCTAAAAATAAATAAATAAAATCTTTAAAAAATAAGGGAAAAAAATCAAAAAGTGGAAGACAGTCCCACCTCCTTTCTAGGAGGTCCAGGAATGGTGGGAGATATCAAAACAAAACAAAACAAAAAAAAAAAGATGAAAAAATTTCATAGTCAAGTAATAAGCAGAATGAATAGAGAGTGCTATGAACTGAATGTGCTCTCTTACAACAGACAAGTTGAAGCCTTAACCAAAAGGACTATATTTAGAAATAGGGCCTTCAAGGAGGCAATTAAGTTTAAATGAGGTGGTAAGGGTGGGCCTCTAATCTGTAGGACTGGTGTCCTTATAAGGGGAAGAGAGACCAGAAGTCTTTCTCTTCACACACGCACCAGGGAAAGGCCATGTGAGGACACAGCAAGAAGGTGGCCCTGCTGGAACCTTGATCTTGAACTCACAGTCCCCTAGAACTGTGAAAAGATAACCTGCTGATGTTTAAGCCACCCAGACTCTGGTACTGTTATGGCAGTTCAAGAAGAAAAATACAGAGATGTCTAAGTAACATGAAGTCTGATGACTGAGAAACAAAAGGTCAGAAATTACAAAGATGAAAGAATAAATAAAGCATAATTAAGAAAGAAGTAGAATGATGAGTGAGAAAGGAAAGGTTGAAAATGAATATGAAACTAGGTTAGTGTTCTGAAAAAAGAACTAGTAATTTACAATATTAATCAATCTGAGGTCCACCCTTTTCACCTATCTCTAGGGAACCTATGCTGTGGCATTAAATGAGAATTTTAAAAAAATTTTATTTATTTGTTTTTAGAGGGAGAGTAAGGGAAGGAGAAACAGAGGGAGAGAAACATCAATGTGTGGTTACCTCTCATGTGCCCCCTACTGGGGACCTGGCCCACAACCCAGGCATGTGCCCTGACCTGGAATCGAACCAGAGTTTAGGTTTGCAGGCCCACGCTCAATCCACTGAGCCACACCAGACAGGATGCTGTGGTATTAAAGTAAAACTCAAGTGTCTGTGTAGGCCACAGTGACCAGGTAAGGCCACAGTGACCAGGTGAGTGAGGGAAGCTACAGGTAACACAGCAGCACTGTGGCAAATTGCAGAGGGGCTGACCCATCTGCAGGAGGCGGTCCACAGGCTTGGCCTCAGCCGACGGGTGCCACAGAAGAAGGCAGAGCTGTGCATGATTTCTAAGAGAAGTAAAAAACCTGCATTTATGTAGAATACTTTTATATTTGGACAACTAATAAAATTACACACAGGCACAGTGGACCCAACCAAGGATCCCAGGAAAGATACCTTGGAAATACATAAAACATCTGGGCTTTGCTTGCAGCCAAGATGGAGTAACTGGAACCAGATGTACCTTCACATCTAAACCAACCAAAAAGACTGGACAAAATATACAAACCAACAGTTTTCAAGATACTAAATCAGAGGCCACAAAGAATAGTTCCCCAAGATACGGAAAATAAAGGAGATAAGCCCTATGATGGCCCAGCGTGCTGCCTTCAGCGTGCCGGGGCCATGGCCTGAGACCTGTGTGGAACCTGGGGACAGCCCGAGAAGAGCTGAGGGCCTGGGAAAACCAAAGGGGGCAGGGTTCACGGAATGCCGGAGAGGAGGCAGCCTCATAGTGAGAGAACCTGAACATCTGCAAAGCATTCCCTTCGAGTATTTGGCAGAGCACTGATGAGCGCTTGCATCTGAGGAAATTCAGCAACAGTGCCCGCTCCCATCACCAGGTTGGAAAACCTCACAACTCAGAGGGCATTGGGTAGCAGCCACTTGTGTCAGTGGTAAGAATAAGCAGCCCTAGACTAAACATGGGTCCAGTCCCACCTAACAAGCCTTAACAGCAAGACCTGAAAATGTATCACAGTTTTCCAGTAGTTTAATGACATTCCAGAACAGAGCTTAAGAATGTTTATGGGAATACAAAAATATCTAGCAGCCTAAAATAAAAGTTTCAGTGTGGCATCCAATAAAAATTGACCAGAAGAGAGGTTAAAAAAAGGGGGAGAGGGGGAAATACAACCTATAACAAGGACAAAAAAAAAAAATGAAACCAACCCAGAATGCCACAGGTGTCAGAATTATCAGATGAAGACTTTACAACAGCTGTATCTGTATTTTAAAGACTTTACAACAGCTGTATCTGCTCTAAAGGTAAAGAAGACACATGGACACATGGAAGATTTTTAGAAGATGTAAACTGAGTTTTTGGAGATGAAAATTAAAATGTCTGAGATGAAAAATATTCTGGATGGGATTAAAGGCAGATTGGACATTGCAAAGAAAAAATTAGAAAACTTGGAAGATAAAGCAATGAAACTATCCAAGATGAAACATACAGACAGAATTGAAAAAATAAACCAAGCTTCAGTGAGCTGTAGGACATCTTCATATGGCTTAACATACATGTGATTGGAATCTTCAAAGAAGAGCAGAGAAACAATTGGGTACAGGAAAAAAAAAGGCAGAAGAAAAAGTGGCCCAAAATGTTCCAAATTTGATGAAAACTATAAACCTACAGATCCAAGATCAACTAACCCCTAGTACCAGAACCACAAATAAAATCACAATGAAGCACATCATAATTTAATTACCCAAAACTAATGGTAAAGAAAAATCTGAAAAAAACTTTTTCAAAATTTATTTTTGATTTTAGAGAGAGGGGAAGGGAGGAAGAAAGAAGAAAGAAACATCAATGTGAGAAACATTGACTGGTTGCCTCCTGTAGGCGCCCCGACTGGGACTGAACTTGCAACCCAGGCAGACTGTGCCCTGACCGGGAATCCACCCGGACTTTCCGCTTTGTGGGAAGACACTCAACCAACTGAGCCACATCGGCCAGGGTGGTGACAAAAAGAAATCTTCAAAGTAGCCAAACTGGGAGAAAACATGTTATGCACAGTGGAACATATTACTTCTTGGGAAAAAATACAAGTGAGAAGAGAGCAGAACATCATCATTCCAGTACCAGAAAACAAACAAACAAACAAACAAACAAACAAACAAACAGGCAAACAGCAAATCTTTTAACACAGAACTGCATCCCAGATGAAAATTGCATTCAAAAACAAAGGTGAAATGGACCTTTTCAGATACGCAAAAAAGTAAGGTATTCGTTCTTAGCTAGCCAACATTACAAATAATGTTAAAGGGAGTTTTTCAGGCAGAAGGGAAAGGATCAAAGGAAATATGAATCTATATAAAGGAATGAAACCATTGGAATCGTAACAAAACGGGCAAGTATGTACGACTTCGATATTTTCCATGTCTTCAAAAGATGGCAGTATAAGCAAAAATAATAACCATGCAGTGAGGGGCTTATCATAACATATATAAAAAGAAAATCTACGACTATAGAAGCATGAGGGTCAGGAGAGAAGAAATGGAAGTAGACTATTCTAAAGCTCCTCAAGACATACTGTGTGATAAGGATTTGTATCATAAACCCTAAAGAAATCACAAAAACAGCAAAAGAAATATGTATGTATTTCTTTTGGATAGAATATATGTATCACAGGAAAGTATGGGAAAAGTGTCTCACCAGATAATATCAATAAAGGGATAGAAATTACAAAAGGGAGTGGTAACACCAAATCTACATAAAATCTCCGAAAACTGAAAAGATGGGAATACTTCCTAACTCATTCCATGTGGCCAGTTTACCCTGATACTGAAACTGGACCACAATATAACAAAACAAAACAAAACTATAGACCTATGTTCTTCATGAAAAAAATGCAAACAAAAATTTAAATAAAATTTTAGCAAATCAAGTAAAATAAAATCAATTTATACAAAGGATAAGGGGTTTAGCCTATGAATGAAAAGCTTGGTTTAACATTTATATTTCAATGTAATTTACCATATTAAAACATTAAAAAATCATATAATTATCTTAACATGCAGAAAAAGCATTTGACAAACATCCAACATCCATTCCTGATACCAACTCTCAGCAAACTAGAAAATGGAGGAAACTACCTGAAAAGGGCATTTATTTAAAAATACACCTTATAGCAATATCATAATTAATGGAAAAAAATAAAAGACTGAATGCTTTCCTACTCATTCTCCATAAGACTGGGAAGAAGATAAAAATGTCTACTCTCATAATTCCTGTTCAACACTGCTCTGGAGGTCCTAGCCAGTGCAGTAAGTCAAAGGAAAAAAAAAAGGCATCCAGATTTAAAGGAAGAAATTAAACTGCTTTTTATTTCCATGACCATATATATAGA